TTAACGGAATGTATATCGTAAGTATCATATTCCTTCCGTATTATTACTAGTCTTATTTCTTTCTATCCGATCTTTGGAAATCCAGTCATTTTTTTCTGTCGGAAAACAATATTATACACGATTGCACCTTTCACCGGTCTCCCAAAATGTCTCTAGGGGGCGCTACGCGAGAAATGTTACAAACTCAGCAAACAAATCCGCCTTTAAAACCGTAATAAGATTTTCGAATTTTACAAAAAATCTTGAAAATATATTATATTTTTTCTTTTTCAAACCAATGCAGAAGATACCATAGATCCGCTTATCCTAAAAGATACATGCACTTTTAAAACTATTTTCAGATGCCTTTCTTTCATATCGCTTCAGAAACACATCTAATCTTCTTTGTGCCCCCAAAAGGGTTGTATCATCACTATAATCTAAAAGGAGAAATATCCATTTAGTTCCAAGGTTTCAAAATAGCACAGCCATTTACAAATTATATCACAACCCCCAAATTGGCCTCTCAGACACCGCTAAATCTTACGAGAATTTTTCAAAATGCTGTTTTCTCTTTGTGCAATACAAGTATTCGTAATTAACATTTCGCATATCTCTTTCCATTAACGATTCCATTATCCCATTTGCTCTGAAGAATAATACAGTTTTCAAAAATACTAAAATCTGAAGTGGAAACTTGTAATGTCCCATTTTCTTGTATTAGTTTCTGATCCTTTATGAACATTGCCCGTCCTTTATGTCTTCCTTTATGTAGATATGTCTGACAGGTGAGATAAAAATAATGCCAGACAAGCATGAAAGACGAATGAATAATCGGAAACATTCAAAGCGTTTGAATCAATTATAGACAGTGACTGTGTTGAGGTGTTGGCTACAAACGAAAGAAGAAATGATCGGTAAAAATACCCCCCCAAACACACACACAAAACTAAATTAGAAAAATAAAAAAAGTCAATAGCGCCTTTCGCGCATGACGGCACCGTGACCCAATTAATTGTGACCCCACGGAGAGCGAAGACTCTGGATATGCTTACTACTTTATCCAAGTTCCGAAAAGAAGGCTTTTAGGGAATATTCTGTGTACTTTGTGGTGTTGGTTTCTTTTTTTAAAACAAAAACGTTACAGTTTACTGCTTATTGCTATACTGCTGTTGATTTGTAAAATTTATTTTACTCTCTTAGGTATGGTTTTTGTTTTTGTTTTTTATTTGAACTTTTGTTAGTTTTCTTTTGACAATACATCTAGTGTAGCTTTCCAGCTGTTTTTACTCAGGCCTGGTTGAGAGTGGTTGTGAGAGCACATGTAGGTGTAGAAGCTATTATGCCCCAATTGGCACAACTTAGATACTTTAAGAGACAGTTGGACGATCTGGACTTTGCAGATGACTTGGCGCTTCTGTCACACACCCAGGAACAGATGCAAGCAAAGACAACAATTTAAAACAACCTATCAGAGTCTGTTGGATTGAGGATCCACCCCGAAGAGTCAAAGGTCCTAAGGATAGACGCACTACGAAAGAAGCAGGTCACAATAGAGGGAATTGCACCAGAAGACGTCGAATCCTTCTGCTATCTTGGGAGTATAATTGACAGAGAGGGGAGGAACAGGCGTTGAAATAAAGTCCCGCACTGGAAAGGCACAAATTGCATTTAATTCTTTGAACATGATTTGGAGGACCAGGGATATCTCACTACAAACAAAGCTGAGAATTTTCAACTCAAATGTGAAGTCAGTCTTGTTGTATGGATGTGAGACATGGAATGCATCTCAGACTTGCATAACGAAGATCCAGGTTTTCTTGAACAAGTGTCTAAGGAAGTTACTGAGGATCAGATGGACAGACAGGATCACCAACGAGGAAGTATTAAGAAGAACGAGACAAAGCCCAGTTAGAGATGAAGTGGGTAGAAGGCGTTGGCGATGGATTGGACACACTTTCAAGTCAAGCAGCTGCATAACAAGGAAAGTGTTACACTATAACCCACAGAGTAAAAGAACAAAGGGAGGACCACATGGAACCGGGAGAAGAGTCATGGAAATGGATGTACAGAAAAGTGGGAAGAAATGGAGTGACATAAAGCGACTAGCCGAGGATAAGGAAAGGTGGACAGTGTTTGTTCGTGGCCTATGTCCTGATCCAGGGTGAGAAAGGCAATGGTGATGATGAAGTATAGAGTTTATTAAGCTCCAATTAGCACAACTTAGATAATTTAAGAGTCTAACTTTGAACCTGCCTGTCAGGCTCAACCCTGGCTGAAAGATATTATACACCTTCTAAATACAAAGTTTGAAATACTCTATAAAAACTTTCTGCACTCGAGAATCGAACCCTGGACTCCTGTATGTAATGACAGAGAGCCGTAGCTCTACGCCACAGACACCGTGTTGTGAGAGCAGCACCCAATGGAAAAATAACATTATCGTATCATCGTGGTGAGATTAGGCTCTTGTCAAAGGAATGAAATCGAAGAAACCGGCACTTTTCCGCACGTTGGGCGTTTTTACCGATTTTCCCCGACGCATTACAGTTTATGTCCATTTCGGTGAGGATTTTACTTTAAACAAAAACAGCTGATAAAAAATACTAACAATGTAGATTTAGATTTTCCAAGGCAGGGCACTGAAGCATTGAAAGTCACCAAATTTTGGCGACCATTTTAAAGCAAATTTTACCCCTGGCACCAATCGACCCCCACCTCCTTCAATCGCAACTATCTCAACTTCCATTCATAGGTGTATGCATTGTCAAAAGCAAGACAAATAAACACGCTTTAACATGATAATTATCAAAATACCCATTTGCCCAAAAAAATCGACGAATGCTTGATTACACCATGTTGCGGCACTACGCTGTATGGCTGTTGTTGCGGTTTTGCAGTTTTTCTTTTTTAAGTAGTGAGGTTAAAAATAATAAACAGAAGAGCAGAGAGGGTTGTAAAACAGTAGACTCACGTGTAAATGGCTGTTTCCGGGACAACCCAGGACTGAATTCCTCTGACCACGTTGACTTTTCCGTTTTGACCATAGCTGCCATCACAACGCCTCTGAGTGGGACCAATATGCCCAGACATGCCACAGGTACTCAGCTTCAGATCTGTGGCAGGACATGAAAAAAAGAGATCAAGTTTAGTCTTAGTTCTTTGTAGGAGTTTTACAGCACTTGCAACACAATAGGGCATATACCTGGATACCTGGAAGTGTGATCTCTGGCTAAGAGGTTGATGTGCAATGACCCACAATTGCTTTCGATCGCTAGCTGTCATTCCATGTCTTGATGTTATCGGTCCACATTGTTCTTTGTCCGCTCTTAGCCTTTTTGCCCTACATCTTGACTTCGAATATTTCTTTCATAACGGCTGGTGACGTATTATATGCCCGAAGCATTGCATTTTTAAAACTTTTTATTCTGTTCAGCAGGATCAGTGTTGTGTGGAGAATTCTACACATCTCATTGTTAATGTTTTTTCTTTTGATTTCCAGCCAATTCTGGCCATTCTGCGACAGCACAACATCTCGAAATACATGTATTTAGTTTTCTTCTTTCTTGGTGAAAGTTCAGGTCTCAGTGCCATACAGGAAATGGGAAAGATGTGGTACACAAATATTTTTTCCCTTAAAGCTAGATATAATTGATTGGATGTACACATAAACAGTTTGTGCATTCGGCTGAATCTTGCTTTCGCATTTACTGTTATTATTTCATTCTTTTTTCACGTCTGCCATCGTCTGTGATTTTTGCCCCAAGATATTTGAATTAATGTACACAGTGTGATCCAACCTCCCACCACCAAAACTGTACAACTTTTTTTGTTAATATTTTTTTCCACACTTTAGTTTTGCGTTTGAAATTTGTACACAACATTTGGAAGTCAAAAGGAATTAGTCTGATATTCATTTTAGATAAATTCACAGAATAGTTTTGCTCTACATAGCGCGTAAAACCCCCCCCCAACCCATTTTTAGCTACGTCCCCATTTTTCTAGCTTGACATACTAGTTCACGTTAGGCCTACCACTAAAAATTCCAACGATTGCGCATATTGCAAACTACAGTAGTCTAACAGGTCAACAGAAGTTTGCAGATAGTTTTTCTCAAGTTACCTATGTCTGCTGAGATCATGGTTAAGATTAGTAAAGAGCAGAGAGCTTTTTGTATTAAAATTTCCTCACCACCAACTCATTTTTTAAAGTTTAGCACAAGGTACGGAAATAATGTTTATGTGCCCTTAAGGCCTTCTTTGATACCAAGGGTGGAAATGTCCATCGGCTAGGACCAGTACAGAATCAGAACAAACATGCTCAGATAAAATGACCACTTCAGGTCAAACACACACCGTTTGCACCCCTTTAAACTTCATCAGGGAGCAGAATTCGGAAGACGAGCCCCGTGAGACGTTTGTCCGTAGACAATGTCTGAGGCAATGATTTACCTACATCTCAACGGTCCGCATTCTAAAGGCAGATCTTCATCTGCAACTGAACCATTTTCCTGTTTACGAAGCTATCATAGGATAGCAATGTGTTCATGATTCCTCGATTGTTTTGAAAGCGTGAACATTTCCTCTTAGACATTTGGTTCCTTGGCAAAGCCCATATTATTCCCCTTTCAGGTTTTATAAACTCAACAAATGCTGTCCATTTGTGCAATCTCACCCCCCCCCTTTATTGTCTCTAGAAACAGCTCTATGTTGTAAGGTGCACAGTGTGTGTGGCTTAGATTACTCATTGTTGAGTGGATCCTTGTGTTTGACCACCTCTGAACATTACGAACGACGTGTCGAGTCCAAAGGAGGACATAGAGACCATTGGTTCTCGGAATTCCAGAATTTTTATTTTTACAATTTTAACTCTGTAGGAGAAAAGAAATATTGTTTAATTAAAAGTAACAGTGATGGAAAGATTAGATTTAAAAAATACAGTGTAACAAGAAATAAAAAACCCAAACCAATCACTTAAGGACTTTCCTTATAAGATCTTTAAAATTGGTGCATTTTGCATTTATAGGAAATTTTTATTAAAGCCATTTCCGTTTTCGAAAATATGTTTTTTCTTTTTAAATTTTATATCAAACAAATTCCTTTTGAATGAATTATAATAATATAGTTTCAAATTATAATATTCTTGTACAAATTTAGTTCGAGATATTTAGAAAAAAAGTTGTACAGTTTTTTGGGGATCACCCTGCTCGATCTCTCCTCATCTGTGATTATGCCAATTGATTTGGTAGTTGAAGAGGCTATGACCATTGTTTTTTCTGAGCGTGTATGTCAAGGCCTGCCTTAACCGCTCTTGTCTTTTATTTCTCTCATAATTTTAGAGAGATTTTCGTTCATGTTTGCAAGCAGGACTGTATCCTCTGCGTATTTCAGATTGTTTATGTTATGAACCCCAATAATGACTCACTGAAGGTCTTTATAAATTCACATTTCAATAGTCATATTGTTGTAAACCTATCACTTTCTTTTGTAATCATCTGGGTACAGAATATGAACTTAAAACATAACACGCTCTAATTTCACGACGGCTTGAGAAAAATAAGACGAGAATCCAATGCCCGTAAAAATCATACAGAATTCGAATGGCTCGGCCATATCTCAAACAGCGGAAAAATCATGAATGTTGAAAAGCAGTCGAATGGGCACAGCTGTATACAATATCTCTTTTAATTCTTTTTTGTTATGTGGTTTCTTTTTTGTCACCATCAACACAATTTAGATTATTTAAGTAGCAAGTTTACAACCTTGTCTGTCAGAGCCAACCTAGTTTAAGAAAGAAGCAACATCCAAGCTAACAGATCGAGGTATTCGATAAGAAATTAACTCCCCTTTGGGGTCGAACTGGAGTCTCCTGCGTGCGACAGCGAAACTCCTAACCCTAACAACTACACCTCAGACGCCGATTCAATGTCTGTAACAACACCATAGTGTCAGAACAAAAGCTTGTAAAAATACAAAACAAATTAAATAATATCAAAAATGGGGGATATCTCCAATGTCAGAATCGACAAAGGGAGAGGAAATCCAGCGTCTGGAGAAAACTGCCAAGAGCAAATTTGTGCCATCAAAACCAATGAGGTCACTACGACAAATTATGAGGGCTCCGAGCCCCACGATAAGACTCAATTTTTGTGTGTGTGTCTGTCTGTCTGCAAAGGTAGTACTTTTGTCGTTGTAATTGAAGATATTGTATGCTCCAATCGACACATTTTTAGATCAAAGTGGAGACCAACTGCTTTGACCCTGCCTCCTGAGGCCAACTCGGGCGATGAAGGATATTATGTCCCAGCAGACAGATGGAGATACTCGATTAAAAAGAAACAAGAACAACAGCAACAACAACAACAACTACAACAACACACACACAGACACTCACAAACACGCACACACACGCACGCACGCACACACACACACACACACACACACACACACACACACACATGCACATACACACACACACACACACACACACAGATGGAGACGCACCTAACTGCTGCACCACAGTCATCGGTCAGGGCACTACTTCTAAAGACAGCTTGCACAAAATATCGAGGAATATATACATGTGCGAAATTTATGAAAATGGTGATTTATCAGTAGATACTAGATACGACTTGCTGGCCTAATAATGTGATATAAACATTTAAAAAAAAAAAATTTAAACGTATTCATTTCCAGATCAGATAATCGAATACTGAATACGAAATGACCTTATCCAATGCATGTAAGGCGAATTACGTAGTTCACCATTTCGCAAGATACTTGATTTGACAAAGGATAAAGTTAAATCCGTCAACATAAACGGAACTTTTAATCCTTTCCGTTTTTTAGCTTTGTCAGTTCCAAACTGAAATTCATTTTTATATTGTTTTTATTGTCCTGTTTTCTCATGTTCACGCTAGATGTAATTTTTATATCTTGATCACCATTTCATCCACTTGCCTGCTAGCAGACTCAAATGCGACGATTAGCAAGAGTCTGTTAACGACATTGTTTGTGGGTTACAGAGTGGTGTAATACTATATTACATTATATTACTTTAAGGAAATGTTTTTTGCCTAATTCTACATCTTCACAAAGACAATTTTCCTATTTGAAATGAATTCGTCCTTCTATTTTTCTATTCCTCATATGTAGCTCGTATTTACCTTGAATATATATATATATATATATATATATATATATATATATATATATATATATATATATATATATATATATATATATATATAACAGAGATAGAGAGAAACACAGAGTGAGAGAGAGAGAGGGGCGAGGTGGAGGGGGGAGGGCAAAGATGGCGATTTAGAGGTGGGGAGGGAGACAGGAATTGGGGATTTAGAGGTGGGGAGGTGGGGGAAACTTGCCTGGTATGAAACACTCAGGACTGAGGCTGATACTGTGTACAGCCACCTGTCCACTGGCTTTTGGGTCGCTTGTTATGGCCCTGAACTGCAGGATATAGCTGTGGGAGACAACCGAGTCTTAAAAAAAAATTTGCTTGGACAGTCAAGACATTAACAAATTTTATTGTGCCTCCTGGCCATATTGAAAGAAAATAAATGTCACATTTATAGTTAATTTAACTCAATCGTTCACGGGTGTGGGGGCGAGGGTGGCGGTCAACTTGCACTTAAGGTTGCGAGTCGAACTAAATAAACACTCTATGAACAATGGAAAACTAAACCTTTTTAACAATGATATTGATTAAAACATCAGAAGTTAAAATAATAACATTATACCAACGTTTGCTCCTACACAAACTTGTTAGATCTGGATGCTTGGAACATTTCATGGCAACAAGATCATTTATGTTGGGAGTAGGTTCTGTGTTATGGAGATTCTCAAGATGGATTACCTAAAATCATCTTGCAGGCCAGACCTGTTTGCGGTATTGGATGCGTCCCCCAGGCCTTGAGTTTGACACCTTCGCCCTACGCTTTACTTATGACGTTACAGTATGTCTGTCGTTCTGCTAAAGTCCATTCACGCAAAACAGAAACCACAAACAAAGAACTATGACAGCATTGTTTCCCACCTCGAGTTGATGGCCTCGGTGTTGAGGTCGACGACCACACGCTTCCATGTCCAGGGATCCATGACGTCATTGTTGGTGTTGACCACTTGCTCCCACTTGACCTTGTGAACCTGTGACCTCCCAGGTTTGCCCACAGCCACCATGTCCAGCCGCAGACTGGCAGACAGAGCTGTGATCCTGTAGTGGAACCTCACCTGAGGAGGGATGTAACATCCGGTCTACAGACAGATACAGTGGAATCTGCTCTAACTGCCATCTGTCTAAAACAATCATATGTACAAACCGCCACCTTCCATTTCCACTAAGCGTTCATTTTAACAAAAATAGTAATGACACTGTCAAAGATGTTAACATGTCTAAGACAACGGCAAGTTCCCTTGACATTGAGTGGTCTTCTTGGACAATTTCGACGGCACATTTTATAGCAATGCTGCATAAAAAGACGGCTTCGGGCCAAAGTCCAGTCTCCAAAAAAGTCCAGGTAAAGACGGCAGGAATTGCACTGTGACTCATAAGTTACAAAAGAAGTATTTTAATTACATGTATTTACAAGAAGTATGAGGAAGTGAATCTGTTCCTTGGCAGGTCTACTTCTTCCATATTGTAATATCGATACTGCTATGACTTTATTTTTTGGGGTGTGTTTTACTAGTAGCATGCTGGGTTGAACTTGGAAAGGCTGTACTGTTAGGAAGTATAGGGGGGGGGGGGGCTTCCCCCGGGTAAAATGGCTTCATTGTATTGTGATGACTCCCTCGCCCCGGGGCGGTGAGCCGTCCAACAAGTCAACCAACAAGTCACGGTGCTTATCATTATCGATAAGCAATCCGGTGGAAAACATTTCATGAGATAAAAGTATACTAAACAGGGTATGTCCGACTAAAATCAACGTAACTGCACACACATTAAAAAAAAAAAAATTAAACATACAGATGCAAACACAAAAACACAACTCCCATACCAGCAACATTTTTATACCTATATGTTATCCTCTACCTACTCATCTTGGCCCAAAAGTTTAGGTACTAATACTAACAAAGTCAACATTGTATGAAACTTCGTGCAAACTTTCGGAACCTTCGGTGACACTATAAAGATGACTCCACTAGGGAGCTGGACAAATGGTGCCCACCTCGTGATTCAAAAGAGCTGGGGAATGTAGGACTAACATGATGTAAACAATTAACTACTAACCAGTTGTTGTAACCATCTCCAGTTGGGCTATAGCAACACTTGGATGTGTAACTTACCAATACACGTTATAAAAGTGAAGTAACAGATTTATTTATTTATTTATTCCTTTATTTATCGATATGTAAAACATTTTCTTGTGTGTTTACTCTAAGACTAACAGCTAATTTCAAAATCTAAAATGCTGCACAGTTTGTTGTTATTACTAAACACAAAAGCGCCAGATGATAGAATTGGGCAGGGTAAAAATATGGATACTGCTGTATTGTACGCTAAAGAAAATCTTGAAAAAAATAACGAGTACAGCTATTTAGCAGAAATACATCATTTGTTTCAAACTTATCCAACGATAAAAGATTTGCTTTTCCGTTTTTGTGACAGTGACTTAAAATATCAAACATCACTTTTCGCTAAAGAACAGAAATCACAACAGAAACTGTGGTATCTTGTTCAGTATTTGATAACCAAGGCAGGTTCGTCCTCTTGTGAGCCTTTATTAGATGGGGATCACACAGGTAGTGACTGGTGTTGTTTAACACTTTTCCAAACAACTTTTAAAATTCCAACTGACAGATTGGGAAAACCTATTCAGACCCAATTGATGGAAAAGTGTTAATGCCCGCTTGGAAGTAACAGATGTAGGTGGGCGGTACCGACGTTTTAACGTCTTAAAAGTGGAAAAGCACTGCTACTACAAATGATCCTGTACTACTTTTTTTTTTTTTGCTTCGTTTTTGTTTGTTTGTTTGTTTGTTGTTGTTGTGTTGTTGTTTTT